CATCAAACCTACTACAAAAACGTTCAGGTTTAACGGTTTCTTTGGGTCTTCATTTCTTCATATGAAATTTACATTAAATAACCTTGTATGCTTTCCTTTCAATCTGTCTTTTGTTACAGGGTTCTCAGTCAATGAACTGTAAGATAGATAGAAGGAATAGCTAATTTTCCTTCCCGATAAAAGCTAGTGACATTTAAGGCAAGATACATGGATTCGAGAACCTGAGAATGTAGCCCCCAGCCTGCCATCCTCGCCAGTCTTTGGCCCAGGTAGGGTCATCTTCAGCCTCCAATTGGCTGGGCTCAGCGCTGGGCCAAAGGCTTGTGTTTCCACCATTTCTGTAGATGCACTGGCCACATGGGTGGGCTCAGGCCATGGGCGGGCTGAGGAGAGTGGGGAACAGCAGCCCCAAATTCAGTCCAGAAAGGGCTCCTGCTGGGGCCACAGAGGACAGAGCAGATGAAAGAGTCAAACTACCAGAGAGCATCACTTGGCACCTAAATATAGTATGTGAGGGCCCCTGTCTTTGCCTCACTAAACCAGGGGCTTTGACTTAAAATGGAGGAAAGAGGTGTTTCAACTATGAACTTGGTGTTGGGCAGAGCTGGATCACTTACTGGATCTGGGGCAAAGTCCTTGATCTGAGCCTTAGTTTCCTATGTAAAGTGGGGGTAACAGTATCTATCTCTTAGGATTATTGTGAGGATTAAATGAAATAACGTGGTAGAGCACTTAGCCCAGCATCTGACACGCATTAAGTGTGCAATAAATGGTGTCTACAATAATAGCAATTGTAAAATAAAAACAATCACAAAAAATAGCTGCTAATGGTTTCCTGGTCTCTCACAGTAAATAAATTCTTGGGAAAGACAACTTGGCCCGGTAGGTAATTCAATAAGTTTGGGAAGAGGAGGATTGCCGGTTTTTCTGTTTGGAGTCAGGTTCCTGCTAGAGTATTTTTTGCAAAGTTAGCAGGAATCTGAGGTCACCTTTCTAAATGGGATCAAGTAGCTTGGGAACTCCACTCACCTGAAAGTACCTAACCTTAATGTTTTTTCCAGGTGTGTGTACACATATAGGCAGTATATGCATTTTTAAAGTGCATGTGGCTTTTATAGGTCATTGTATTCTTGGGTTCTCAGGGATTCCTGCTCCAGGTGTGTGTGTCCTGGCAATATTTTTAATTACAGACATGTCTTTGGCCCCAGCATGATAAAATAACCCCTCAAATCATGTACTTTTCATCACGCTCACACCTAGCTCCATTAGCAGAAATTCTTTCCTGGTGTTTGCATCTTGGTTCACTTTTAAAGAAATTTCCAGCTCAGTTCCAGTGGCTTTTGCATCTCATTACACTCTTGATAATTAGCTCTATCTCATTAGCCCCTCAGCCCAGTCAGAATAGGATTAGTTGTTTTCAGGTGTAAATCTGTGGTGTGCATCTTGCTACACCTCTTCAAAATTCCAGGCAGGCCTTCTGCCTCAACCGAATTAGGACAACTACTTCCAGCTGTGTATGGTTCATTACACGTTCCATTTTAGGAAAAATACTCCACTGTATCTTACATCTGGTCACACGCTTATTAATTATGTACTTCTTATAACAACTGCGCCTAATTAGGACAGAGCTGAGACCTTGCCAAGCCTAGTGATTCGTTATGTTTTCTTGTTCTTGATACCTTGTTACCCTCCCTCCAAATTATGCCCAATTTGTTTTACATTTCTGCCACATTAACACAACTGCTCTCAGGTGTGTATTTCAGCATCCACTTTGCTTTTCAAGGAAAATTTTGTTGACCAGGACACTTGTTTTCACATCCTACTAGAAGGACAGTCACCTTGCTGGTCTTCTGGTCACATTTGCTCCGAATCGAGTGAATCTAGCTTAGGCTGCTGAGCTCTGTGATGGACTCTGGTCTCCTTTGTTCTTTACTGTAAAAGTCTGTGCTGTGATTGGGGAGGTAGCCACAGCTGCGATCAGAGCAAGAATCCTGAATGCAGTGGCTTTGGTCCATTTACAGAGCCTGTGAGGTGGAAGCCATTAGTTCCACCAAGGAATGCTAAAGGGTCATCCATGTAACAAATTTGTACCCTCTAAATCTATTGAAACTTTTTTTAAAACAGAAAAAAAAAATACAGGAGAAGTTCAAGCTGAAGATTTCAGTTCTCAATGAGAGATATCTTCCTAAATGAAAGGGCAGTCTTGGAGCATTGAGGGAGAAATATAGACTCTGGGCAAGGAAAGATCAGAGAGGAAGGTGCAAGAAGCCAGTGGAAGTATAAGCCCCACATCATGAGGGACTGGCTCTTTTGCTTGCCGTTTCATGACTCCCGTGTCTCCTGAGCGGTACTAGGCAAGTCTATCTTTTTGACTGAATGAACGCGTTAGTGCTAAGAAATTCATGGATATGACTCGACAGTAAGAATCATCAGGGTTTGGTTGCCAATTCAACTTGTCTGTATTGGAGTTTTTCTTTCTAAGCTATTTGGAACATAAATAATGGCTGTCAGGCTCAGTAAACATTCAGGCAAGAACTAAGTCCTGGAGAGGGATCGGGCTTCTGTCAATGAGGTCACCCCACAGAGGGTGGGAATTCCATGGGGAAGGTCCCACCACACTTTGTGTGACTGCCTGTCTCAAGAGTATGGGCTGCAGGAGCTCAGGCCTGGTCCTGCCACCAAATTTGAGCCGATTTGGACTGTCGGAGCCTGGAAACAGGGCTTGTCCTCTTATAAAGGAAGCACAAGGAATCCTTGTCTAATCATCAGGGATGTAATCAGCAGTGAGGGGGCAAAAGCTCTAGTTGGGTGGTAAGATTTAAAAACTCCATTATGAGGTAGAAATAAAAACATCGTACTGGGATGAAAGTCCCCGAAAGAAACTGTATTGATAGAACAGGTAGAAACGAGTGCTTATGGGGTAAAGGGCACAATATTACCCAAAGAGTAGTTTTGTTTACAAAAGATATCCCGACAGGCAATAACAAGGTAGCTAAAAGTAGCAAACCGTAGAAGAAACCACTACTAGCAGTTCCAAGGACATAATCTGCCAGTGTATATCAAGAGTTGGATCCTATTGTCAAATGAGTACCTCTTTTCAAGGAATTTATTCTAAGGGTAGCTAAGTTGGGAGAGACTCTTCTAGAAGTTTCTGAAGCTTCAGGTTCTCCTATACCTTGGGTATGGAAGAAAGGAAAGTAATGTTGTGACATGGGGTGTTGTGAGGACAAAACAGGAAAACGTGTTAAGTACCACAGAGCAGATGACAGTGACGAGAGAAGCAAGAGCTCTCTGGGAGCAGCCGTTGCCTGTGGAGCTGTCTGGTGACCGGGTTGGACAGTATCACGCCAGAGCCCTCCTCCTTCATGGTCATGTTTATTTTCCATCTCAGGATCCCTCCTAGTCTTGTGAGCCTTCTCCAAGGTGCTGTGACTGGTGCTGCACACAATAACCCACCCATGTGCATCCCATTGCCCCTCTGTGTAAGAATGAGACAATGGTTGGCTTTGTTTTCGGTGCCCGTCTGGTGAGGGCTATCTTCTGGGCCTTTTTAGCTGCAGCAGCCCATTTAGGGAGGGGTCTTCATGCTAGAACACTGACTCTTGTGGTGATGTGTATTGGTGTGTGTGCAGGCTGGGCCCTATCCTGGGCAGACCCTGACGCTCTTTAGCACTTTCTAGTTATGGCTGCAGATAGGACACAAAAAGGATCTCACAAAATATCCCCTAAGTAGGATGATAACATGGAAATCTTCACTGTGTCCCAAATGAAGGTTTTGAGGTGGCCATGCCATTGCCATATGCACCTATTTGATCATTCACTGCATGTGTCGTTGGCTATTCTTGCCCTGTTGGAGGATAAAGACCGATGTACCAATCTTAAAATAAATTTGTGCCTTGAGTGTCTTCAATATAGGACCCTAGAGCCCTTTTCTGTGTAGAATTGACATTCTTCAATCCTGTCATTATTGTAAGCAAAGCAGGGATTCCACTTTCCTAATGCTGCCCCTGAAGCAGCTCATCTGCCATTTTTCTGCTGGTTCTCAGTGTTCTTGACATTCTACTCAATCCAAACCTGCATCCCTTTCCACAACCAGCAGAACCAGCCTGCACACTCCCCAGTGCCACCCTGGCTCTCTGGCATCACTGTCCCCACTCAGGGTTCTCCACCTGGAGAGGACAGGAAGGGAAAAAAGTCACAGGATCTATACTGGGGGGGTCATGGCACCTAAGAGGAGGCTTTCAACAAAAGTGGCCAAGTCTAATCTCCCCTTATCTTCCTCCTTCCACCCCACTTCTGGGGTAGACTACTGCCCATGATCTTGTTTAGGGAAAGTATATTTTTTCTGTGGTGTTTCCTACAAAGATTCAACTTCTTCCCAGTCAGTCAGGCCCCTGAAGCCACGCAGATTTACAATATTCCTGCCCACCAGAAGCCCCAGGAAGGCCATCCTCCAGCTGCCTGCCCGATTTCCGACCTAGCCCTGAGTGTCCATCCGTTCCCACACTCGTAGTCAATGAGGGTGACCTCTTCGTCTATAAATCTGCCCCTGTGCATAGCAGCATCTGGCACATACTAGGCCCTTGGGGAAAGAATATAAGAAAGTAACATGTGACATTTAAGCTTCTCAAAACTTTTTTTTAATTTTCTGTTTTTCCCACCAAGATCAAAGTCATACAAACAGGTATAAAATTCCTGACCACTGGGGCTTGAGGCATCCCCATGTGAAAGTCCTTCCTGCTCATCTTCTTGTGTATTTTCGAGCTTTGTCTTAGTCAGTGCTGCCTTCTGTGACATATGAACCATGGGCAGTAAGAGGATTTGGGGACAGTGGTGAGGTCTGGTGTGTCAGGAACACCATGGGGGAGCAAGTCATAGACAGTCCCGGCTGGTGGCCGCCCAGAGGAGGAGGAATGTCACACTGCCCAATCTTCCTTGCACTCAGCTGAGTAAACCTGGGTTACTTTCTAAGGTGAGAAAAAACTAGGGAGCTCATAAGGAGAATAAGTGAGCATATAAGAATCATTCACCCCCAGACAATGTCTGTCTCAGGTGAGATGAAAAGTTCTCTAACCATTATTTTGCTTGGAAATTAGAGGGGGCGATCAAGCAGAGGGTCGACTCACCTTTCATTCTTCCATTTTTGTCATGAATTTTATGGGTCTTGGTTTGGATACAACAGAAAAAAAAGCAGTAAATCAACCCATAATGTATATGCAACCTATAGCACACAAAACTCTCCCAGGGATTGGGATAAAATGATTTTTTCCCCCCTAACCTTGAGGAGGTCCTGGTTTGGTTAGGGAAATTTATGGAAAACAACAGCCAGGTGAGAAACCATTTATTTGATTTTTGGTAATAGAGACAGAAAGCAATGCACATACACTTATTTCATTGAATTGAAAACTGACAAGGTCAAGACATTAAAAATCCTACTGTTTATGTAATAGAACCCTACCCAGTGGTTTTAGGAAGGGACTTAAAACTTAGGTAGCAGTCCACATCCTAAGGCTGGAATTTTATATATGATGTTGGGCAACAAATAAAATATTAGTTAGTAATTCATTCATTTTTCAGAGTCCAATGATTTGATGCCATGTTCCTCCCTATCCCACCTTAGTCCCTTTAGACTTGACAGGATTAAAGTATTAATAATTGTTCAATCAAAACATTCCATACAGCAGACTTCCTTCCGAGTTTATATGAAAAGCCAAAACTAAAGAGAAAAGGCTTACACCTCTCCACTCAAGCACTGGTGCAGAGAAAACTAAGTCAGCTCAGACTGCAAAAAGTAACATACCAAAGAAGAATGTATGATCAAGGAAAAAGGACCCCCACCCACCCCACAGCGCACCCAATTAAACGGTGGTTATTTTCTTGTCCTTGGTGGCTTGCTTGATGGCAGCCTGCTCGCAGATGATCTCCTTGAGCCGCTGCAGCCGCATGTTCTGGGTGGTCTGGTCTCCCGTCCCGGGCTGACTGCGGTGCAGCAGGGTCAGGGCGTGGATGTACTCCAGCTCCGTGTACTTCACTCCCTGGTCCACCACCAGGTTCAAGAGCTCGTCAGCCGTGTTGTACAGCATCTCGTAGTACTGCCTGAGGAAGCAAGATAGTAACACTGCTCACTGGCTCCACTGTCAGCAACATCATTTTAGTGGGGCACAAATATGCTGTCTATACATGAATTTCTTTACTTATAAATATTGCTCACCAATGTTCTAAGACCCTAGAAACAGAATGAAGAACAAAGCAGACATGACCTCCGTCCTATAGGAGCTCACTGGAGCTCTCATCATAAGATGTCTAAGTGAAGACCCAGGGAGACCTCATACCTTTCAGCTCATTCTGTATTTTTCTCCTACTTTTGCATCTACCTTGGAAGATCCAAGGAAAGAGAAGCAGTCGTGCAGAAACTAGGAGAGAAGTAATCACCTGACAGGCATGGCCAGCAGGTTTTGTCTCATTCAATCCCTTACTCATTCATTTATTCATTGGAGGCTCTGTGAAATATTGTAGATGAATTTCTCCTTTACGGAGTAGGATAATAATAGTACCTATCTCCTAGGGTTACTGGAAGAATTAACGTACAATGCATTAAGAATGGTGATGCTTCATATAGATTAACTTATGCAAGACATAGCCCTTTCTTCAAGTGGCTCAGAGACAAGGAGGGAGGGTCATAAAAAGCAGAGACATAAGGATTCCAGTGCTGTTGACAAGTTCGTTTCCGTGCACTGTGCCACTTAACCCTCACTCCCCCTAGGGAGCTAAATCCTTCCCCCATCTTTTTCCAGAAAAGTGAAACTGAAGCATGGAGAAGTTAGAGGACTTGCCCGTGTCACACAGTGAGTGACTTTGCCAAGATGTGAACCCAGGTTTCTGACTCCAAGTCTAATACTGTTTCTTCACAGACAAATCACTAGAATGTTCCATGTGCCATGAGTGAGGTATAAGTGCTGTGACTTTATAGCAGAAGGAACTGTCTCGCCATACTGAGGGGAGGGTGTGAGACTTCCTACGGGATAGCGTCTTGTCAGGCAGGGCTTCCAGGGAGGAAATTCTAGACAGAGAGAAGCGCATGAGCAAAGACAGGGAAGTGACCCGGTGAGACTGGGGAGTACAGAGGAATAGCGGAGAATCATGGGAAAAGGCAGTTGAAGCCAGAAGGTAGAGCATTTGGACATCAGGCTATGCCTTTAGGCCTAGTTAAGCCAATAGAGAACTTCCTTCCCTCAACCTACAAGGATCTGTTGAGAGCAGAGGCACCATTCAAAGCCAGGTTTCTAGAATAATAAGGTGACAGCAGAATGTAGAATGGTCTGAGAGGGGACTGGTTACAATTCTAGCAAAAAGGAGACTTGAGAGCCATCGCGGGCCTGGATGGTAAGGAGAAGAGTGGTCCCTGTAGTAGAACTGTGCACTGGAGTGAGTCTTCTAGACAGAGAGAAGACAGAGGTGGGAGTCGGGAAGTGGAGGAGATTGCCACTCACCATTCTTAAAACCAACATTATGCCACTGCTATCCCTCAAAGATTCTACTGGGCTCTGAGGCTATGACTTGCATGGCCACTCCAAATTACCCAGGAGGTCAAGTTTAGCAAAGGCTCTGAGCCAGCAATGCTACCACAGCTCGTTAGCAAAAGGACAGAAGTATCATAACTGATCTTGGTTGCCTCCTTCTCTCTTCCTAACATGAAAGTTTGCTTTGCAGAGGCTGAGCGGACAGAACCAGGCCCCAGGCTCAAGGCAACTCTTGGGGGTGAGGGGTCTTACAGATCTAGCAGAATCGCTGGCTCAGGAATACTATATTATTGGACTGCAGGCCTTGGATTTGTTTCTTCCTTATCAGGAACATCTTGAAAAACTGTGGCAAAACAAAGCTGTCCTTGTAAGGAAAACATTCTAGAAGAGTCATAATTTCAGGAATATTTAATTAACTGCTGCTACAATAGGAATGAAGTCAGGAAGAGTTCTGGTGTTTATTCACATGTTTAGTTCCTTTTCTTGCTGTTAAACTTCCTTTTCTAATTAACATTCTTTAAACAAAATAGGAGAAATAATACTCTTTTGTGAATATTCCCTAAATGGTGGCAGGAGTGGAAAGTCATCTTTTTAGATTACCAAGTTTGAGTGTCTCCTGGGAGTAAATTGTTCAGCATCCTTGTGTACATAGTCCTCTTGGGGCTAATTTTCTGTAGTAGTTTCTGTAGCGATTTCATATTTAGGAATCTTTGAATGTAGACAGAAGTACTTCTGGTAGAAATACTTCCAACAGATGAGGAAAATGAAGTCTAACTTCCAGGGGTCTGAGACCCCTACATCAGCCACAATCAGGAAATTTTTTGAAGTCTCATATTTAGCATAAAATCCATGTGAACTCTGCGTCCTCTCAATCTATCTGTTGTAATTTAAAACTACTATTTCTAAGAAAAATTCAATGCTGTAAGATGAGCCATATTTATCCTACATCTTTGCACAACCCCTGGCACACCCTGGCTTTCTGGTACTGGCCCCTGTTCTGAGAAATGAGGTCCTGTATCATCTAATTCTGTTTCCCACAGATGTACAGGTAAGGGAGAGAGCTGTCTATCTAGGGAATTGCCTAAGAATATACACTTTAAAAATATTTCAAGAATAACCCATGTATGAATCTAGGTTTACTGAATGAAATAAGAATTTGGGCACATGATCCTTTCAAAGCTAGGAGGAACCTGAAAGCTGCAGTTTCTAGACTTAGGTTTTCCAACTTCATAGTCCCTAATTAAGAATTACCTGGAGAGCCTGTGGAAAGTGCAGATTCCTGAGGCCCCATCCCCAGACACTGTGATTCTTAAAGGTTTGAATCAGCTAGGAGTCTGAGCTGGGGCTGTTTGGTAGGGCAACAGTTACAGGGCCATTCCTAGCTCTTCCAGCCGAGGACCTAAATGCATCAGGGAAGGCTACAGAAGCAATAAAAGGTTTATGATGCTTCTCACTGAGATTAAACCGAAAGAACTGGATTTCTTTGTATTATGTTGTTGATATTTTCATCATTTATCTTAAGTAACACTGAACCCATCATACCAGATGAAATTGAATTTCTTTTGAAAGATCTGATGAATTGTTTCCAGGGATACTGGCTGGTTTTCTACACAGACTGTTGTTCCATACTGGGAGCAAACAAAACAAAGATGCCTGGATTTCTAGTCCTGGCTCCTTAAGTGATAAAGGGCATGCCACTTAAGTCCTTAATGTTTCAATATCCTCTGTGCAATGAAGAACTTTATAAATCCCAGGATGATACTCTGAAGTGGACTGAAAGGCTAAAAGAGTCCTCGAGAGCCTCAGATGAACAGTGCCCCAGAACTGCAAAGCTGAGTTATTCAACAAAATTGACAGGTAACTGATGGTGTATTTTCTAGTTAGGGAAAAAAAAATTCCCCCATAACCATGATGATATATTAGATCATAAAGAATCATAAATATTTAAGACAGAATGAAATTCATTTATCTTTCTGAATGGTGCCCAGTAGCAAAGACTACTAAATTGACATAGCAATAGTTACACTTGGAGGTGGGGAAAGGGTGCTACAGAGTGCCCTAAAGAGAAAATAGAAAAATGCCCCAAACTATACAATTAGAATGAGCTTCCCTGATAAACACTGACAGACTGAAATGAAATCATGTCACCCATTATGGATAAATAATTTATCGGCACTTATTGAGGCCCCAGGACAATGAAAACTTGGTCTTTATCATCAAGCATTAGAATAGCAGCCATGGCTTCCAGGGCAACACGCTTCTCACTAGATGGTACTTTACTTCACTGCCTCGATGGGATCAGTGACACACATTTGATTGAGACATATGCTCATGGCTTAGAGAGCAAGTGTCTTCCCAGCCCATAATATTCGGGGGCCAATTGCTAAATGTGGACCAAATATCCTATTCTAGAGACCAAAGAGGTTTTACATTACCCTGGTGGATGGAATATTCTGTAAGGTGTGTGCCTTCCTGTGGTTTCTCTTACCCTTTGCTGTGCGCCTCTGGGCAGCAGTTCTGAAAGTATTATGAGCAGAGAGGGTGAGGGGTGCAGTGTTGGAGAAGCAGTGGTGTGATGTCACAGAGTGGTCTACTGTGCATAGTCTAGAATGTGACGTTCATACTTTGTTCTGGTACAAAGAGATCATTTTCTCTTCCTCGTGTTTGCTTTATCAACAGACTGTTCTTCCTTGTGTTTTTTTCTTGTTACTTTATTTCATTGGTATTGCACTGTGACTCTTTCTCCACTATTGAGTCCATCTGAAAACATTTATACTAAATACCAGTAAGGATATTGAAGGGCATTTTGGTAAGGCGGGCAGATCTTTTTGACGTTTGAAAATTTTATCTTTCTCTGATCGAAAAGTGAGTGCATATGCCGTATAGAATACATGGGCCATACAGAAAAAAGATTACTCATATAATTCTATCATAAAGACAAACCATGTTTTGGCATATTGTCTTATAGTTGAAATATTTAGGTGGAAACACAATTGGACACTTCAATTGTTTCCAATTATAAACTTTCTTTCCTGTGGATAGATTTCTAAAAACAGAATTAGTCAAAAGATAAGTATATTGTTTAGGACATTTGGCAATGCTGCCAAATTGCTTTCTAAAAAAGTTGTATCAATTTATTCTCCTACCAACCAACAACATATGGACAGTGTCTAGCTTGTATTCTTTTCTTTTGTTTTTAAAGAGACAGGGTCTCTCTATTTCCCAGGCTAGCGTGCAATGGCATGATCATAGCTCACTGTAGCCTTGAACTCCTAAGCTCAAGCCATCCTCTGGCCTCAGCCTCCTGAGCAGCTGGGAATACAGGTGTGTGCCACCATGCCTAGCTAATTTTTTAAAAACTTTTTGTAGAGATGGGATCTTGCTGCATTGCCCAGGCTGGTCTCAAACTCCTAGCCTCAAGTGATCCTCCTGTCTTGGCCTCCCAAAGTTCTGGGATGACAGGCATGGGCCATAATGCCCTGCCTCATATTCTTTTAATTTACATGAAGTTGAACATTTTTCATCTACTTACTAGTTTTTAATCTAGGTATGTGTAAACAAATTATTGATATCTTT